AAAAACCCCCCCCCCCCCTCTCCAATTTTTCAGTCTGAAAACTACACTCTGAAAACTTTAGGAAGGGGGGACAGTGGTGGCGGAACGTGGAGGCTAGGGGGCTACAGCCCCTTCCCCCCCCCCAAAAAAAATTGGATAAGATTCCAAATTTTGAAGTATATATATATGCATATATATATATATATATATAGTTGAGTTGTGTATATATATGCGGAAAAAAATATGCGGAAATAAAAAAAATGCGGAAAAAATTTTTATATGTTGGTCAATTTATGGAAAATTTATCTCCCAAAATAAAAACTGTGCCCGTGTGCTGCCACCACTGTGGGGGGGGGGGGGGGGGGCGACGGCGCCACCGTATACTACTATAAGTACTGTATATTGGTGCTCAATGAGTGACGGGCGGGCGAATCACCGAGACATCTTTGAAATAGACTTCGAACCTTTCAGTTTTACGCAAAACTTAGTTCTAAAGACAGCAAATGGCCGCAGAAAACACATAGATGAAATACCTTCCAATTCCACATCAGCGAGTACTGTGAAATGGATATGGGGGAAATGAACTGGGAAATAGGGTCTATACCTAAATCAACTTGCATTTATTACGCTCTTATTGTATTTTTAGAAATTAGAATATTTTTCCGAATATGAATTGTTTTGCGATCGAAATTCGTGATTAATTGTTTTGAAATTATTTCTAAAAAATATAGTATATTATATATTATTATTTCAATGCCACGTGACGTGTGTTTGCAAATTTATGCAAAATATTTTTCATCCGGGTATGTTGGATGCGCAGGCGCGAACAACGCCAAATATCTATTGATGCAATATTAAAAGCGGGAAAAGAAAGCGCCAGAATGAAAAACGAACAGAAATTAATTGTCAAAATATAAAGTGTTAATACTATAAAGACTCGCCTGGTAAAGACTTGTCATTCCATTTCGCTGTATTTCTGCTTGTGTTTGGTCAATTTGAGTTTATTACCCAAATTGAACACTCGATGAGTGATAAAGAAAATGGAAATAGGAAGGGGTTAGTCGTTCTCTCATTCGAGCTCTCGTTTGTGTTTTATGTTTCATCGTTTTTATAATACAAGATTGTTCATTACATTTAAACCTGCAGTTTCTTTACCGGTTGTTAATGTATAAGACTTTTGTATTTAGGCGTCGAAAGAAATTGGTCAACATCATTTCAAATTTGGCCAAAGAACAATTGAATAAAAGCAGTGAGGAAAGGGTTATTGAGGTATGTTAAGACAATTTCAGGCAAAGGACAATTAGCTTTTTGTTCATCCCCAAGCCAATGGCACAAAGTGGCGTTCCGGGTGTAAGCAGAGGTACAAGGGTACTCATTCCACTCAGCTCATCTTGGCCAGGGTGGGAGGGTGGAAAGTTTGTTTTTTGTGTGCCGAAGATTTGACCAAGGTTCAGTAACATGTGCCAGTGGCTGCACAAATCCTGTTTTAAACATATTCACATGCGCCGCCGAGTTGCAATGTCAACACTTTAAGAACCGAGACAGACCAGATATACCCTGGGTGCCAGAGGTTCTTCCACGCTCGTAGGGGGGATAACGAGGGATACACGAGGATTCAAGCTGGGAGGCGGTGAGCGGGAAAAACCTCTGGAACACTTCTATGGTTTCTCAGATCGAACCGCACCAATCACGATGCTTAATAGTGTGAAGTGATCCAGAATCTGGATCACAGTGTTAATTGGTTAACGGCAGG